CCCCCCCCCCCCCCTTCACTATTGAATTGAATTTACTTGAATTCAATTTAATTTAATTTAATTAATTTAATTCTGTTTTATTTTTGGTCTACCCAGCACTTGTTCCTCCTTTGTTTGCTCTGTCTTGGGTCTTATCACTCACAGCTAATCTCTTCTATTAACTGTGTCAGCAAATCTATTCCTGCCTACATTATTACCGTAGTGTATTTATTTTCATTTTATTTATTTACCTATTTTTTTTCTTTTCCCTACACAACAGACTACCCTTGCTATTTCACATACCCCCACACCCCAAGACCTAACACTTGATTTTCTTTAGTTCTTTAAAATGTTGTTCTTGTTTATTTGTTTGCTTTACCAGATCAACAAAAAACAAGAAACTGTATCACAGTCATACTATAAAGATAGGTCATGTCAGTGGTGTAGTGATAGTTCATAAAGTGGGTGTACTGCCAGAGTGGCATATACCCTCCCCTGCACCACTGGGTCATGTTAAGTTTAATGTCAATCAGCAGCACTCTGGAGCTCAGCCAGTCAACACTTTGATATGCGAGTTTTCCAAGATGTGTGAAACATGTGTTTTGTATTTCATTTCTTACCTTCAGGGTGACATCTCTGCATACACTCTCTTTCATCTTTAAAGTTGTTGTGGTTGCCCAAACACCCTCCATAGACGAATTTCTCACAGCTCTTTGAGATGGAGTTGTAGAAGTAATGCTCAGTGTGTGCCTTACATGGGCCTGTTTCAGGTGGTGCGTTACAGACCTCTACAGGAAGAGAGAGATTAATAATGATATGTTACTATTATTGTTCTCTATCCTCTATTATTGATTATATTATTGACTTATTTAATTATTTATTTCTTTGTTTACTTAACAATTATTATTATCATTAGTATTATTTGTTTTCCCTCCTCACCTTCAGGATGACAACTCTGCATACACTCTTTCTTGTTTTTAAAGTTGTTCCGGTTGCCCCCACACCCTCCATAGGTGAATATCTCACAGCTCATTGAGATGGAGTTGTAGAAGTAATACTTAAAAAATGCCATACACTGACCTCTTTCAGGTGGTGCGTTACAGATGTCTACAGGAAGAGAGAGATTAATAATAATAAGTTACTATTATTGTTCTCTATCCTCTATTATTGATTATATCACCGACTTATTTAATAATTTAATTCTTTGTTTACTTAACAATTTTTATTAGTATTATTTGTATTCCACTCCTCACCTACAGTGTGACATCTCTGCATACACTCTTTCTCATTTTTAAAGTTGTTCTGGTTGCCCCCACACCCTCCATAGATGAATTTCCCACAGCTCATTGAGGTGGAGTTGGAGAAGTAACAGACCGGCAGAGTAAGTTGATCTCTTACCTGTTGCATTGAACAGAGCCCTGATAAGAGCTGCATCGGTTGCATTGTTTAGAGTTGTACTGTGTTCAGTTGCATCGTGCACAGTTGTATTAACAGTAGCACCCTCAGCGTCTGCAGGCACCACAGTACTCTCAGTGGTCTTCACCTGTACCGCAGCCACAGACAGAAAATGACATTCAAAACCTTTTTTTTCTCCAAATATTCCACATAACATTCATTTGAACTTGTGAGACGCGTTCTCCAATTTGGTTAACATCACAAACTCTTTAATCTCATATTCCAGCATTTCACTGAAACTCAATCACATTCTAAGTGAGACATTCATATCCCTTTTTTAATATCTGCAGCATTAAATCAAAGAGAAATTGTAGTTGTCCTGTTTATCCTGCTACATTTTAAACTCATTTTGTATTTGACAATCTGTGAAAAAAAAAAAAAAATTTGCAGAGAGAACTGAGGAGCTCAGCCAGTCACCTGATCATCATCAGCAGCGACCCCCTGGAGGGTCCAGGTCCACCCCAGGAGCAGCACAGAAAACAGAATCGCTGTTTTCTCCATCCTTTAAGTCTTTGAGTCCAACTCTCTCTGAAGTTCTGAGTGCATGAAATATAGCCACCCTCTTGTCCCTCTCAGCCCAGACAGTGCATTGACCTGTGACTCATTGTGCTGTGCTGCCCCCGCATGTATTTACTCCTACAGAAAAAAAGAAATAAATTAGTTAATCTTTTACTTTGAACTTGTGCTATCTGACTCGTTGGACCAGCTTAGACCACTTTGGACTTCAGACATCAAAATTCCAAGTATTTGTTTTTAGGAAAACAAAGCCAACAAACATCTACATAACATCCAAATGTGCAGAATGGACAGATGCTGTTGGGATGGATACAGTAGCTGAGAGTAAAGAAAAAATTCTTCTTAAATGCTAAGTATAATGTAAAGACTAATAAAAACAATAGATCATCCATTGCTTGTTTAGATCATTTATATAGCGATAAGTGAAACTATTCTGGCCAATAATATACTTAACAGTTCTTAATATAACTGAAAGGTCCAGTGCTCAGGACGTGGATGATATATTGGCATAAATAGGATGTAATATAACACTTTTTCCCCATGGTCTTGTTCTCTTTTGCTGTACCTACATTTAAAGGAGCAATGTGTAGGAATGTGTAGTGGTGAGGTTTGCAGATTGCAACCAGCTGAAACTTCTCCCATGTGCCGAGTGTGAGCTCCCACTAGGGATTCCTTAAGTGTTCATTGTTCAGGAGGTTTTTACCAGGAGCCGAGGTCTCTTCCTCGAGATACTTAAACTCCCTCGCTTGGGGCAGGAAATAAGACAGAGGGATTATATATCTCATCTGGCCTGGGAATAACTCGGGACCCCCCACGAAGAACTGGAAAGCGTAGCTGGGTGAGGGACGTCTAAAGTGCTTTGCTCAGCCTGATGCACCCATGACCTGTTGGAAATGGATGGATGGATGGATGGATGGATGGATGGATGGTCTCTTCCTCTCCAAAACAATCAAAGGAGGTGATTTAATCCAGAAAGCTCTCAATAAAGCAGTTCCATGTTAAAAATATATGTTTTTCCAAAGCTGTTTGACTCATTGCAGAGGGGCTGCCAACTATGGTGGCCAATGCAAAAACACAAAAGCAAATAGTCCTTTCTGGAGCCAGTGTTTGATTTGTTCATTCTTGGCCACTGTAGAAACATGATGTGGATGAGGGCCCACTCCCTAAACCGATATAAACGGCTCATTCTAAGGTAACGAAAACACAACAATTTTTATATCCAGGTGATTACACACTAAAGAAAACATACTTTTCATATTATATTTCATTTCAGCCAATATATCCCCATGAATCCTTCACACAGAACCTTTAACACAATTAATTTAATCATTCATGTCAATGTTTGTCAATGTTGGGTAACTTTGGGGTTGAGCACTGGGAAAGAAAGCAGTTACTTTACTATATCCCACACAGTTTTGGTGCCATATTACCTTAGTGTACTTAAGAATTTGATATGGTTACTCTCGGGTTTTTTTTTTACCATAGTCTTGTTTTTAAGTGTGAATGTCATGCAAGATAAATTATAATGTGCTTGGTACAGATTACTCTTTCATTTCATTAGATTTACTTATTTATTGATGTTGCAACAAGCTGAACTTTGCTCTCTCTGCTCATTTGTGTTTTATTTGGCTGTAGGAGTGAATACATGTGTGAGCAGCCCAAGACACATCAGTCACAGGTCAATGCCACATGTAAGCTGAGATGGAGAAACGAAAAACAGTGAGAAAGGATGGCTATGCACACATTTTCCATTATAGTCTGATAAACATAAAAAGTACTGTACAACTTGTGTAGATGTTTAGTGGTAGACATGATACATAAACATCTCGTGAACTTACTCAGAGGAGATTTTATATCAGGTGGCACTGCCATTTTAGTCAAACTCAAAGATGACCACTGTATCTCTTAGTGCAGTCTTTTTGTATTTGGCCTATGGAGTCGATTAATAACTTTCAACGCTGTTATATTTTCAAGAGATGCTCACACAGCAACTTTATCTTCTTAGAAAATTCAGTGGTCTTGGTGTTAGCAGATTTTAGAATACTTGTACAAAACTATTTAACTTTTGACTTGTCACCTTCCTGCCTGGTACGGTCACCTTGACTGTACATCCAAGAATAAACTCCCTAGGATTGTAACTATGGCAAGCTCAGTGAGGCGCTATAGAGCCCCTCTGGCACTTAAAAATGTAGCCTATGTAAGTCCTTTATCCCAAGTGCCATCAAAATCCTTAACTCACCAAAGTTAGTGATAAGGTTTAAACCACCGACAGACAATGACCTGACTTACTGTGTTATGACTTTATATGCTTGTCTTACTATTTGTCTGCTTTTTACAATGTTGTCTTTTATGTTTGGTGAGCCAAAGACACACTTGGTGGACAATAAAGATATATTCTATTATATTCTTAATGGTTAAATAATTGAAACCTTTTTTTTTACACTGATGCAGCTCTGTTAGACCTGTTGGGTCACTGTAGATAGCCTATATCGCAAAAGTCAACATAAACACATACCGTTTGCGCATGCGTGATTTTTCGACGTCACTTTTAGTGCCGTGTGGTTGATATACAGTCTATGATTTATTTGCGGTATTTGCTAGTTTGCGTCGTAAAATTTTGATTAAACTCAGCGGTATGTCTCAAATTAAGTTCCAGACAGGCGTCCAGCGATATTTTGAGAGCCGGATAACAACACCAGTGATTGACAAAGTTGGGCGACAAGGAGTCACCTGGGTGGCCAAAAACTACGTCACAAAAGGTAACGTTAGGCAGGTGTAATTAGCTCAGTTAGCGTTAGCATGAAGTTAGCCGACGTTCACCAGCCGCTACTTAAGTCGAGTTTATAGTTTATCTCTAAAGTTAATGTGCTCGTTATCATTTGCACCAGCCGAAGTCTCTCAGCCCAGCCTAACCGCACGTGTGTTATCATTAACCTTACAGTTAATAAGTTTAAATTCTTCCTAATGATATGTGAAATAATGTCAAGCATAGGCTACATGGCGTAGGTTATCTGCTTCAAACTAGTCCCTTTGACACCAGCCTTGAGTGTCGGAGGCTTTATAAAAACTGCAAGCTGGACATAAATCTTACACATGTCAGCACATGTAGTTGACGTCATAATATATGTAGACAAAATGCCTATTTGTTTTTCTCTGTTTTACAGGTTATGTTGGGACAAGGAAAAAAGGAGAGATATGAGGAATCTACTCTGAAGATCCACATCCACGCTACTGTGATCATTTCTGCTTAGGTACTGTAAATATAAGTGGACACACACACTAATCCCAGACTAGACTAGATTATGTCACTGAAATACATAACGGTAAAGATCACCAAAAAAACCTCTAGAAATAATTGATTCATGTAATTTATCAGAGGATCCTTAAAATAACACTGAGTTCACACCAAGCACAGATTTTTGTCTGGAAAGTTTGCTCTTAAATTTTTCAAAAATGTTTTGGTTTTCTATGCATATTTGGACACCGCTGTGCAACATTCATGCAGGGGATAAGATATTGGGATGGACTTAATTTTTTTGGATTCGCCTGTGGAAATATATATGTGACCAACAACATTCTTTGTTCCAACTGATGTCATACCGCCAGGTCATAGCTAGCCTGCTGCCAAAATGGGGAATGTCTCATCAATTTGGTTTTTGCTTCAGCTGGGATACAATGAAAATGATAATGTAGCCGATATGCACTTGCTAACATTGTTAAGGCTCCACATGCATCCTTTAAGGTATATCATGCAGGATTCAAAGAAAAAGAAAAGAATATATGGACTCACATAAAAGTAATCCCTCTCAGTCATCACTTATGACCCACTAGCAGTGTGTGGCAGTGTCTGTATCTGCAGAGAACCTGCCCTCTGCCTGTATTTTCTTATTATTATGGTTTGTGTGAGACATTTCTGGATGTCAATCTTTGGGTAGTGGTGTGTAGCCCCCAGCCAATAGCAGCGCAAGGTCAGGACTCTATAAAACGTAGCAACCTTGCTACACCGCTGTCTCTATCTTTCTCTTCTGCTCTGTGGATGCAAGCTACAGGTCTGTATGTCTGTTTGATTGAGGGCGAAGTTGAGCCACACGCAGAGCAGAGAGGCCAAGCAGACAGGATGAAGCATGCACTTCAGCTGAAATCATATAAAATCTAGCAATGCAGCACCTTCCTACAGGGGTGTGTGGAGGTGTGGGTGTGTTTATTTGTGCTTTAGAACATAAAGGTTGTGAAACAATCAAAGTATTTTATTTCTCTAATCCCCTGCTTTGCTCTCCATAACACCACTCTTCCCTTCATGAATTCTGAAGCTCGCTTGAACACCACTGCTCTTTCAGTCTTGTGGAGCTGAAGAGGAGGGGCCAAGTTTGTTTTAAAAAACAGTAAGCGACATATCCTGCATAGTTTACTTTAAAACGTCTTAAAAGTCCGTCCGGACCAAAATATGGAGCGTGGACTGGTGGCTGGAGAGGTGCCAGTTCAACTCCTGGGCACTGCCGAGGTGCCCTTGAGCAAGGCACCGAACCCCCCAACTGCTCGGGGCGCCTGACCAAAGGGCAGCCCCCTCACTCTGACATCTCTCCACTTTGTGCATGTATAGGTCCTGTTTGTGCATTTGTGTGTCTTTCGGACCTGTGTGTAATTGACAAGCAAGAGTGAAAACATTGAATTTCCCCTCAGGGGGATTAATAAAGTAAATAAACTTAAACTTAAATAAACTTAAACTTAAACTTAAACTTAAAAGATAATGAATTATTTAATCTAAAAATAAGGTATTAAAATATATTAAATCAATATCCAAAAATTCTTAAAAATGCTAAGACATGGGAAGTAGGATTTTATTAATCGTTTTTTTTCTAATGTTGCATTGTTAAATCTTTAAAATATTTGGTAACATCTATTTTTAAATAATTAACCGGATGCTTTACAGCAATGTCCTGATAGCAGAACCAATAATGCTCGTAATTTGTTTCAGCCTAGGATAACTAACTACCTGTCACTGTACCTGTACGACATCGGGATGTTCAGTGACAATTGGCCATTAAAGCAAGATTTTGTGGCACAGCTGAAACCAGTACAAGGCAAT